GCATACAGTGTCAATAGAGTGTCTCAATTCATGGCAAATCCTCTTCACACCCATTTAAAGGCAGTAAGGAAGATTTTGAAATATTTAGCTGGAACCAGAAATCATGGATTGCATATCAAAAGGTCTAAGTTCATCTCTCTAAGTGGATTCTCTGATGCTGATTGGGCTAGTGACATTGATGACAGGAGATTAGTGACAGGTTTTTGCATTTATATGGGAGAGAATATGGTGCCATGGGCATAAAGGAAACAAGGTTGTGTTTCAAGGAGTAGCACAAAGGCTGAATATAGGAGTTTGGCACATTGTACAACAGAGTTAGTGTGGCTTCAGTCCTTGCTGAAAGAGTTAGGTGTAAAAGTTGAAGGAACACCAATAGTTTGGGTTGACAACCAAAGCACAATATCCTTTGCTAATAATCCTGTCATGCATGCAAGGACTAAACATGTTGAGCTTGACATTCATTTCATTAAAGAGAAGACAACTCAGAAAGTATTGAGTGTTCAACATATCCCAACTCATGAACAGATTGCTGATATATTTACTAAGCCACTCAGTCATCAATTCTTCACCAAGTTAAAAGAAAAACTCACTGTGACCTGCTTACCTCGGCTCGAATTGAGGGGGTGTGTGAAATTACCCTCATCTCCTTGCATGAGTCACCATGCTGACGTCCAAAATGATGCTGCACATGAAGACAAAAGATCAGCAGCACTTGAGGCATGCACCTGTAGAATTCCAGCTCACACTCCCAGCCAAAACAATGCAACGGCTCATTTGTACCCTCTCATCTCTAGCCATGCACGTGTAGGGTGTAGATTAGATGTTAAGAAAGGTTTGGATAGGAATGACGGATATAATCCACAAATAGGATGCTTCTAGATCTTAGCTGGGGGTATTATAAAAGGATCATCTTTGTAATCAGTTTTCTTCAATGAAAAGAAACACAGAAAAGCTATGAACCCTAGTTTTATGTTCATGAAAATTAGCTTCGATTTCTTGGCATTTTCTCACATACGCATCTCTCGGGTCTTGTACTGATAAAACTCCAAAGAATAATAATTCTAATCTCAGTTTTGTTGTCTATAAACTGAGAATCATTTTTCCTTTTTTGCCTTTGCAAAATTTCCTTACATTTAAAGGCTAAAATCATGAGAACTATACCAGCTGCTGAGGAAAAAGATATCTTTAAAAGGAATCAGAATGTAAAATTATGGCTAATTTATTCTTTGGTTGGTCTGTTTGGATAAATTGAGTCCATTTATATCTTTGTTAATTTACTTTATATCTTAAGAAGTTTCAAAAGTTGGTACCATGTGAAAAAGCATCAAAAAAAGCTTGGGTGAATGACTCATTTATGGTATCAATTTATTGGAAAGATTGTTTATTTATATCTTTTTTTTTTTTAAGAAAAAACAATATTGTATGCATCACCTTTTATGGTATCAATTTTTCAGGCCAATAAATGGATGTCATCATATGTTTGGACATTTTTATTTAAAAAAAAAAAAATGATTTAACATTAATACACCCATTATTCAAGAATAACATACAAAAAAAAAAAGCTAATCAATTGACAGCTGATAATGAAGGCATAAAAATAGCAAATCAATTAAATTAGACCTTTTGTTTTCAATTTGACGTTTTAAAATATTATTCCAATTGTATGGTTATAAAAAAAACTCTTACAAGAATTTCATAGTTTAATTTGATTTACACTAATATATTAATTCTCTAAGTATCATCAGGAGAGAAACACACGTAATTAAATATGCAATTTAGAAAGATTTTGGAATTGTTGATTCTTACAAATTGCTTTAAAACCATATTTATCGTAAAATACATGGGAGTATAAATTTTCTCAAGGAGTGACTCTGTTGTCACTTATAAATATTACCTATTTGTAAAGTGTTACATTTGATGGTGCTACCTAAAGTTATTTATGTTGTAGTTTTTAGTGGTGT